ACGAGCTATCATGTTTGTATTTTGCAGGCTTTGTGTGCGGCATGAAAGATGTACATAAATAAGATTATTTACTCCCAGAAAAGGGTATCTAATAATCACAGGCAATTTTCTTCTTTGCAATCTCCTGAAAAAGGATGAGGACTAGCTCTCAAGATTTACACAGATTTACACACAAGCAAGAGCAGGAAAAGAGGAAATGAAAATCCAAGCTTGCATCCATTCTCAGATGAGATGGGAATAAATTACTGAGCAGTAACTCTGCTACTGCTGCATCTGGAATGAAGGAATTCCCCAACTGTTTATCCCAGTCATGCTGGCAAGATGGTTTGTGTGTGTCAATGATAAATTGTAATCTCTAAGTACTTGTTTTAATTTAATGAGGAAATGTTAAGCTGCTGGACTAACTCAAAGTGAAGGGGTCATAGCATTCTTCATCTACAAGCAGCTACAAAAACCATTCAGTATAATTAATTCACAAACAATTTGGGCCAAAGCTATGCATGCACAAATGTATGCATTCTTTTCTCAAATTCATTCATTTTAGACTTAGTTTATAGTTTATAAACTGGAGATAAATTCAGACTCAAAGTAAAAAAAAAAATAACATGATTATACTCCTGTCTTAGAAATACTTTTATAAAAAAAAAAATATTAAAAGCCCATCTCCAGGTTTTTTTTTTTTCCAAGAAAGGTCTCTCAGCAATACTCAATATAAAAAATACATCTTCCTCTGCAACACTCACCTCCACCCGCATTGTTCCTTGCAGTAATCACTTATTTGCCACTAGATCCACTAGAAGTCCTCAGTCTTGTTAAATAACACCCAGTAAGTGTAGGGAGTCATGGACCTGCCCCCTGGTGGGCCATCACAATGGCAACCTCCACTCTCAATGTATTGATACAGAGAGTGGTGTTGACATTATTATGTGTCAAAGACAGCACTGGCCTCTGCATCACCAAGAACTGCACACCACTGGAGAAGATCAGTAGAGGATCCAATTCTATGTACAAATGTACTTAATCATAGTTGCAGAACTCTTAGGTGGTCCATTAATAAACAATGAGCTTCGCAAATGTTTCAGCATTAACCTCTTCCATACTGGGCACTTTTACCCCCTTCCTGCCCAGGCCATTTTACAGGTTTCAGCTCTCTCACACTGTGAATGACAATTGCGCGGTCATACAATACTGTACCCAAACTAAAATTTTATTATTTTCTTCACACAACTAGAGCTTTCTTTTGGTGGTATTTAAGCAACGCTGGGGTTTTTATTTTTTGCTAAATTAACAAAAAAATACCGAAAATTTTGAAAAAGAAAAAAAACACGTTTTTCTTTGTTTCTGTTATAAAAGTTTGCAAATAAATAATTGTTCTTCATAAATTTAGGCCAAGATGTATTCTACTACATGTCTTTGGTGAAAATAACCCAAATTAGAATGTATTATTTAGTTTGTAGGAAAGTTATAGATTTCACAAACTATGGTATAGATGTGAATATTGATCAATCCTGAAGTACTGACGGCCAATCTAATTTCTTGAGGTCCAAGAATGTCAGAACAGTACAGATATCCCTGAAATGACCCCTTTTTGCAAAGTAGACAGCCCGACGTATTTCATAAGAGGCATGGCGAGTTTTTTGAAGTCAGAATTTTTTTTGGAAAATGAAAAAATTAAAAAAATTATTTTCATTATTTTTTTTTACATACTGTCAGCAGTGCAGTACAGCATCATCATATAACTAGCATGACGGTGATCAGGGACAGTGACTGGTGTAATATTATAAAATATTATAATTTTTTTTATTTTTATTTTTTTATTAGTTTTAATTTTTTAATTACATTTTTTTTCTCTTTTTTTAAGATTTGTTTTCATATTTCACTATGACCAAAGTAGTATAATGTTACCATAGTAACATTGTACTAATTTGGGGAAGTGATCAGTATTTTTTTTTTTTTTTTTACACAATTTGCTTATAGCAAAGAATTACTTTGCTATAAGCAAGCATTTACCTGAATGACATCGATTCATTCAGGAAGCCCTGCAAAGAAAACAGGACACCTTATTAAACAAGTACTTGGCGCAATATACACATATCAGGAATATGAAATGTTGGGTTAGCATACACTTTAGCACAAAAGTCACGAATAATACATTCAGTGTTTCTAATGTGTGGATTGCCAGTTTCTATCTGTTGTCTTTTGAAGGGCGAATGTCAGATTTCAGTCTACTAAACTTGTCAAACAATGGAGTTTTCTTTGCAAAACTGTATCAATCAAGAGGGAGAAGTGGACAATATATGGCAGCTAAAAACTCAATTTTAGAATATATATTGTTTTAAATTAATTCCTTATATTCTTTGAGTAGGCTGGTAATATCCCCAGCTGTGCTCTCTTTTATATGGATAGGGTAAATAGAAAAGGTGGTGGAGTCTGTTTCAATGTTAGAAGTAATCTGAAAGTAAGTAGGATTGTATTGATGGAGATTGTAATCGTGTAAAGACATTAGAGGAACCTAGAGTCCTACTGAGAAAAGACTAAATATGATATAATCATAAGTTATATTTCATTACTAAAACAATGAAGCAATATGTTGTTTGGCTGTAAACATACTACTAAGTAAACAAATAAAAATATACAACAAACACAATATATTCTCTTTAAGGAAAATCTAGGTAAAAGTTCTGTATTATGATTTAATTTATAATAATCTATAGAAAATGTGGAAAAAGTGCAAAATGCATGGAATGTATGCAATTACATTGCTAAGGTGTACAAGACCAATACATTTCACAAAGGGTTCACGTCTTCAGGATCCACACCTAACTGTAAATTCCATATCATGAACTACATTCTCCAAGCACCAATTGTAGATCTCATTCCTCAGAACATCATATACAGACATGAATATTCTCTCAGTGGCATATATTGAATAGCAGTGGTCATCAGCTCTATGGGGTCACCAAAAGGGTTTCATGAAAGCCACATCTGTGTCTTCAAGCAAAGCACGTGGCTAATTAATTGCAGTACCAGTGTCTTCTAATTTTGTTAGTTGTACTCTTACTAGACATATAACCGTTCCATTTATTAGTTAAAACAAAGAATGCAGGAAAGGGCACATTCTGGAATGATTGTGGTATCGGTAGGCAGCACGTATAATTCTTGCTCAGTACACTGGAACACTGCTGGTGCAAGAATTTTCTCCTGTTTCTTTGTAATTCTTCAGTATGGTAATCAGAATGAAAGGTGGGGCATACAATTGTCCTCCCCCCCACTTATAGGACTGTGGCAGTCTAAAGAATCTTCTGTATTTAAAGCGCAATTTGCATACCTAACTGTGTTTGCAAGTAGAAGTGTCACATGTTGTTCTAATGGTCCTGGGCACGAGATGTCACCTATATAAAGCAGAAGATGTGTCATCATTTGAGTAGTCGGCAGTTGACAAGAAGAAAAAGCACATCCTGCCCTACTATCCCTTGTCGCAGCTCTAATTATGAGATTTTGTCCCTTTTTTTATGACTAGGACTGTAAGGTATAGCAATTGTTATAAACAACAAAAAGTGCAAAGAGTACTAAAAATGCTACATGTAAACTATATATAGCAGTTCTTAATTACGAAATACAAGTGAATCACATAGTAACGTTATGAACCATAAGGTATACAATGTTAGAAATAGTAACATGCATCAATAAACACCAAAAGAGTGAAAGGTGCAAAGTGACTAATAGATAAAGTCCATTAACTGTTGGACATGAGAATCAGTGACAACAATCTAGTGGTGACACCTCTTCCATGGGACCTTCACCCCTAGGCACTCACCAAAAATCTGGAAAACATACACCCAAAAAGATAAGGAGGTCTGTGATAGCCTCCTTCACTCCTTCCTCATAGCGGACTCCAGTAGAAGTGACCAAGACGTACCTTGATAAAAAAAAAAGCTCACACATGGAGCCCAAGGAAACTTACATAGTGTAGTAGTTTATTTAAATATGGTAAAATCCACAAGGAATACATAAAATACTAAGTGGCCAGACTTACATGAATGACCACTGGACCATGCACGGCCTCAGCAGCGTGATGTCAGCACGTAGTCTCTTCCCTGACGTGTTTCGTGCACACGGATGTTCTCAAAGGAACCCGCCCTAGAGGAGGCGGGTCCCTTTTGAGAACGTGCGTGTGCACAAAACACGTTAGGGAGGAGCCTAAGTGCTGACATCACGCCGCCGAGGCCTTGCATGTAAGGCAAGCCGCTTAGTCTTTTATGTATTCCACGTGGATTTTACCATATTTAAATAAACTACTACACTATGTAAGTTTCCTTTGGCTCCGTGTATGAGCCTTTTTTTCAAGGTACATCTTGGTCACTTCTGCTTGAGTCTGCCATGAGGAAGCAGTGAAGGAGGCTATCACAGACCTTTATATCTTTTTGGGCATATGTTTGCCATATTTCTGGTGAGTGCATAGGGGTGAAGGTCCCACGAAAAAGGTGTCACCACTGCATTGTTGTCACTGATTCTCATGTTCAACAGTTAATGGACTTTATCTATTAGTCACTTTGCACCTTTCACTCTTTTGGTGTTTATTGATGTATGTTACTATTACTAACCACTTGCCGTTCCAGAGGATTTACCCCACTTCCTGACCAGGCCATTTTTTGCGTTATGGCGCTGGTTACTTTCACAATTGCGCAGGCATTAAATTTGTGTCCTTTTTTCCCACGAATAGAGCTTTCTTTCGGTGGTATGTGATCGCCTGTGCATTTTTTATTTTTTGCCCTATAAAAAAAGACCAACGATTTTGGAGAAAAAAAACAACATTTTTGACTTTTAGCTATTAAACATGTCCAGTAAAAAAATTTAATAAATCAAATTTCTTCATAAATTTTAGGTCAAAATGTATTCTGCTACATGTCTTTGCTAAAAAAAATCCCAATATGTGTAAATGAATTGGTTTACGTGAAAGTTATAGCGTTTACACATGGCGTTATATATACTGGGCTTTTTCAGCGACTTATAGGGGGACTGCGGTGCGCATTCTGACACTGGGGGGAACTGACTTGGGGTCACTGACATCCCCAGTGACACCAATACAGTGATCAGTGCTAATAAAAAGCACTGACATGGTACTAATGGCACTGGGCATGAAAGGTTTAACATGTGGGGCGATCAAAGGGTTAACTGTGTGCTGTGTGCTCAGCCATGCAAAGCAGTGTGCCGGAGCTGACAGGGAGGAGAACTGTTTTGTTTACTACCGGTGATCAACAGCTATGGCTGAGAATGGCGTATATATATATGATTTTTTGTGCACAGCTGCTGCCCTGTAGCAGTATTTCTGAAGTAGCTTATATTGTTTAACATACGGTTCATAACATTATTATGTGATTCACTTGAATTTCGTAATTAAGAATTGCTATATATGGTTTACATGTAGCATTGTTAGCGCTGCACTTTTTGTTGTTTATATTTTTTTATTTGGGTTGGTCACCTTTTAATGCTAGCAGCTTTTTCACATTTCCGAGCACTCAGGGTGTAGCTGTTTGTGTATAGTAATTGTTAGCGTGAGCTTTAATAGCTGAGTTAAGTATGCATAAGTAAATAGTATTTATTAATATTTCATTAAATATTAATTTACATATTTCATTTTATTGTCATGTGAAGTTTGTAAGGTTTAAAGCTAATACTTATAAAAAAGAGACTAAACCTTTTAGATCCCAAGTTTGAGTCCAGAGGGTTTTATTATTTATGTTTATAGTTCTGTCTACAGTCCCAATCTTTCTTTTGTTTTGGGTATGACCCCAGCCTGTTCTTTAATTTTTTGACTGGTCTGTCTACCGCCTGCCCTGACCTGTGCCTTTGTTGTGGCCCTGACTGGAGGCTAACTACCCTGACGTCTTGTTTGGTAATTACCTTTAGTTGTTATCTTGCATGCCAGTAGTTGCCAGTGGGTCCATCAAGAATAAAGAGGGGTTCCTGACAAAGACAGTTTGTATACACTATGTATTTTATTAGTGTATTTAGCAGTTTTCCTAAAGTTAAGTTTTAATTTTTAACGTGAAATGAGGGCATAGATTTGCTCAGAATTGTAGTACTTCAGTTTGAGGCCATGTAGGTCATGAGCCCACTGCAGCCTTAACACGGATCCATTTTGGATCCTACAGGATGACTGAATGGCCCAAAGGGACAGGGACTAGTGTCTATGCTTCCTTGCAGCATAGTTTTCCTGTTTGGAGGGTGGCTGCATGCAAACAAATTAATGAACAAAACAGTAGACTGGTAAGTAGTCATTGGGACCATTTTTTTTAACCATTTTAATAATACTGCTGGGGGAATCAATATTTGTCCTGCAGCCCTGATAATAAGAAACACTCTGCCAGCTCACAGGTGGAATATAATTTCTATTATTTGCTAATCTCTAATTGTATGTGACTCAAAATACTAACATACTTAGCAGGAAGATGTTATTTCAAAGCAGAGTTCCACCCAGGAGGGGAAGTTCTGCTTTAAGCCTTTGTCCCCTGCTCCCCATTAAGAATTGGCACCTTTGGGGAGCGGGGGGGGGGGAGGGTTTCCTGAATTTGACAGGTACCTGCTCCCACTTCCGCTGCGATTGCCTAGGCGATCAGAAGCTGAAGTTGTCCTCCCTCCCCGTAGTCTTCTGGGACATGTGACAGGTCCCAGAAGACTACAGGGCCATTCACAAAGTGCAGCGCTTGCGCTTGCGCAGTGGGCACCCGGCTGTGAAGCCACAAGCTGTCACAGCCAGGTTCCCACACTAAAGATGCCGCTGCCATGGAGAGAAAACAGATAGTGAAACCAGCGGTGGTGAGGACACCACTGGACTGAGGGACAGGTAAGTGGCTGTATTTTAAAAGTCAGCAGCTACAGTTTTTGTAGCTGCTAACTATTTTTTTTTTTTTTTTAGGTGGAACTCCGCTTTAAATAGTGAACTGAACCTGTCACATGGGTTTTGTGAATATGATAGAAACTTACAGATGTGTCTGATTAAAAAAAAACAAGGATGTCAGGTTTTAGGAAAATCCTTAATGGCCTATTTCTTGTAACTCTCAGGTGGTATATGTAGCAATATGTTATATGCTGTGTATGGCCTCTAGGGGTCTCACTACTTAGATACTGGTACAACTGTGTTATTGCGTCTCTTTGGTTGTAGTTCTAAAAGCGGACACATGTTTAATGGCAGCTATGAGCACCTAATAAAAATGTCTGCTACTAACTACAGTGTGTGAGCATCTGAGCAGGATTGACTAACAGAACATGGTGGCAGCTGGGCACTGGACCTCTGAATAGCAAGTCTTCTGTCTACAAATACAGATTGTGTGACACTAGAACTGTACAGAGAATCAGCAACTGTAAGTACAGAGTCCCTATCAGACAGCACTATGGAGAGTGGCCTGAAACCCCCTCAGAGACTGGATGTCACTTCTTCCAATCTCTCACAGACATGGAGACACTGGAAGGAAGAGTTTACTCTGTATGTGGACCTGACAGTGGCACCCAGAGATGAGCAGAGGGAAGTAAAGCTGTTTTATTACTTGATTGGGGAAAAAGGCAGAGAACTAGCCGAGACCCTGCTCACAGACAGCATGGCACTGACAGACATATGCAAGCAGAGTGTTAACTCTAACAGAGCAAGGATATGCTCAAATCGAGAAGGAACTACTAGCGGTAGTATTTGGGTTAGAGAAATTTCACCAGTACACCTACGGTCGACAAGTGGTGGTGCATTCAGATCACAAGCCTTTAGAAAGTATTACAAAGAAGCCACTACTGAATGCCCCAAAAAGACTGCAGCGTATGCTGTTAAGGCTTCAGAAATATGATTTTAACATTTGTTACTGTCCAGGGAAGGATTTACTGATTGCAGATGCCCTAAGCAGAGCTTACTTACCCATTACAAATGAAGAAGAAAAAGACATTGAAAGCATCAATATGTGTGAATATCTGTCTGTCTCAAAAGACAGACTGAAACAAATACAGACCTGCACAGCGGAAGATAAAACTACAGATCCTAAAGACCGTCATCTTGAAGGGATGGCCAAAACACAAGCAACATGCTCCAATGGAGGTTTCTTCATTTTTTCACACAAGAGATGAACTCTCTGTGCAGCATGGAATCATCTTTAAAGGAGAAAGGGCTGTCATACCAAAATCCCTTAGAAGAGACATTATAGAAAGATTGCACTCGACTCACTTAGGTGTAGAAGGATGTCTACGTCGTGCACGAGAATATGTTTATTGGCCTGGAATGAATGACCACATAAAAAACTTTATAGCACAGTGTGAAATATGTGCATAGTGCAATGATAAGCAACCGAAAGAGACATTGCAACCACATACAATTCCAAACAGACCATGGTCAAAAGTAGGAACAGATCTGTTCACGTGGAACGACAAGGAATATCTGGTAACTGTGGACTATTTTTCCAACTTCTGGGAGATAGACTACTTACAGGACACAAGGGCCAAAACAGTAATTAAAAAACTCAAGGCCCATTTTGCCAGATATGGCATTCCGGATATTGTGTTCTCTGACAACGCTGCCCAATTTACATCGGAAGAATTCAAAAAATTCAGGGAGAGGTGGGAATTTGAGCACCAGACATCATCTCCTGGATATCCACAGAGTAATGGTAAAGCGGAGTCAGCAGTAAAAACAGCCAAAAGACTCATGCAAAAGGCAAAACAGGCAGGTACAGAGATATACCTGTCTATACTGGACCACAGAAACACACCCACACAAGGCCTAGACACCAGTCCAGCACAGCGGCTTATGAGTAGACGTACAAGGAGTCTCCTACCAACTGCACGCCAACTACTAAAGCCAAAGCTTGTGGGCAATGTTAAAGCCAAACTAACGAAGAATCAAGATAGGCAAGCTTTCTATTATAATAAATCTGCAAAAGATCTGCCTGTTCTCCAGAGCAATGAAAATGTACGGATTCAGCCAATAGGCAAATATGACAAACACTGGAAAAAAGCGAAGGTTGTACAGAAATTGGGACCACGGTCCTATGAAATTATAACAGAGGAAGGAAGAAGATGGAGGAGAAATCGGAAGACATCAGAGAAAAAAACAAGAAGGAGATGATACAGGGCCCTGGGAACAGTATATGGACACTCAAAGCAATGAGATATGAATACCAGCAACAAAGAAACAGGGACTGCTGAGGAGCATAGGGAGGTCTCTAGGCAGAGAGAGACAGTCCCAGAAAATAGACTGCCAGAATCAGAACACCAAGATTTCTGTGAAGAAACCTCATATGTTACGCGAGCTGGCAGAACAATCAGAAAGCCGGCTCACCTCAAGGATTATATCTAATTTATAGCTATGTTCTACTTCACCATTTTGTGTTTCTTATATTTCATTGTTCTTTTATTTAAAAGAGAAAGGATGTAGCAATATGTGATATGCTGTGTATGGCCTCTAGGGGTCTCACTACTTAGATACTGGTACAACTGTGTTATTGCATCTCTTTGGTTGTAGTTCTAAAAGCGGACACATGTTTAATGGCAGCTATGAGCACCTAATAAAATGTCTGCTACTAACTACAGTGTGTGAGCATCTGAGCAGGATCGACTAACAGAACAGTATATGGCAACCTACTGTCCTTTTAGAGCAGGCCCCCTAAGGTAAACCAATCTTATGTTAACGCTATCACTGAATGTCTCCTATTCACTAATTTTTGATCTGTTAAATATTGAATTAGGAGCATTTTGTTTTATCTGTTTGAGGCCCCTTACACACAAGGCCATCTAGCTACTGTGCATTCCTCCTGGCACTTTAGTGTGCTCAGGAGGGACAGGTGCAGCATCGAGTCCTGCTGCCTGTAGCCTTTGAATTCACTTGTATATGGATCCAGTGCAGGGGCGGACTGACAACTCATGGGGCCCCCGGGCAATAGGGGATCATGGGGCCCCTGTGTCCTTGCCCAAACTCAAAAAAGCCTATGAAAAAGGTACCAGGGGCATCTCATGGGGCCCCCTACTGACCCCGGTCCCTCGGACAGTGCTCGAGTTTCCAAATGGTCAGTCCGCCCCGATCCAGTGCACCGGTAAGGGACATAGGAGAAGATTCTAGATAAGCAGAGAGATCAAGTGTGCT